ATGCACAACCTTGGCTTGATGTTTGGGTGACTAAGAATTATTTTTCTGCTGTGACTATAAATATTGAAAACATGTTCAGAACTTTGAGTTCAGTACTCTGCTGTGAAGTACTGTTTGAGAAGAAACCCAACGCTGGCATTTAGGATATACAAAGCATTTCTTGGCAGCTCACTTTCCGTTTAAGTCAAAATTTGTTTGATGCTTGCTGATTATTATTACTGTAGTAGACTTTTTTAAAAACAAAAAATAACATTTAAAAACTAACTTCCTCATAGAACTTTATATTATTTTATTAATGTTTTGTTTTCATTTTTTAAATTTAAATAAAGAATAAGAATCACTAGCAATCTTCTATGGCTTCCTAAATTAAATATATTCCTTTGGAGAAAATTAGAGCCCTTAATTTAGAATAAACCAGTAAAAAAAAAGGAAGAATATAAAAACTCAATAAAATGTTATAAAATCAAAATCCTTCAGAAAACTAGCAAAACCACACCAAAAATGTATTTTTTTTTAATAATAAAATAAGCCTGAGTTAAAATAGCTATGCAAGAGAAGCAAGTAAGAAGACCTAGGCAAGTTGGAGGGATTCATTCACAGGTATAATTCTAGGTGTAACTATTCAGAAACCATCCTGTGAGACCTTTTGGAAGAAGGTACAATACAATCTTTTACTGAGTTATTAAAATTAATATGGTTATAGCATAAACCTAATTAAATGGATAGTTCCAATCAGCATCCTCTTAGTGAACAATTCTTCCCAACTTCCTCTTCTCATGAAAGCCAAGAGTTGAATAATCTTCTGCCGGTTAACTGCTCCTTTTAGCACATTTACAGAAGACAAAGGTCAAATGCCCAAAGAAATTCAAGACTTACTTAGAACTTACTGTTTTTCAAGGATTGCCCTTGCCATTTAACTTGTCCTGTATGGTTCTTAGGAGACTAGTGCAAAATTAAAATTCAAAGTCCCTTTGAAAAATGAATATTCCTCCATTTGCTATAATTTGGAAACAGTATAGGCCAGTGATGGCAAACCTTTTGAGCTCGGTAGAATAAGCAAGTAAAAAAAAAAGGAAGAATTTAAAAACTCAATAAAATGTTGTAAAATCAAAATCCTTCAGAAAACTTTAGCAAAACAACACCAAAAACATATTTTTTAATAATAAGATAAGCCTGGAGAAACCAAGCTGGCAGCATAGGTAAACACCTGAACTTGCTGCCTCTTCAAAAATACAACTAAAAGACAAAACAGATATCATCCAGAACCACAGGAAGGCTGGCTGAGTGGAAATTCTACAACTAGAAGGAAAGAGAAAAGCACACTGAGACTCAGAGGAGATGCGGAAGTAAAGTGCAGAGGTACGGAGGCGCACGTGGAAAGGCCTGGCAGCTGAGGACGCGGCACAGGTGGAAAGGGCTGGCAGCTGAGGACGCGGTGCATGTGGAAAGGGCTGGCAGCTGAGGACAAGGTGCAGGTGGAAAGGGCTGGCAGCTGAGGACGCGGTGCATGTGGAAAGGGCTGGCAGCTGAGGACAAGGTGCAGGTGGAAAGGGCTGGCAGCTGAGGACGCGGTGCATGTGGAAAGGGCTGGCAGCTGAGGACAAGGTGCAGGTGGAAAGGGCTGGCAGCTGAGGACGCGGTGCATGTGGAAAGGGCTGGCAGCTGAGGACAAGGTGCAGGTGGAAAGGGCTGGCAGCTGAGGACGCGGTGCATGTGGAAAGGGCTGGCAGCTGAGGACAAGGTGCAGGTGGAAAGGGCTGGCAGCTGAGGACGCGGTGCATGTGGAAAGGGCTGGCAGCTGAGGACAAGGTGCAGGTGGAAAGGGCTGGCAGCTGAGGACGCGGTGCATGTGGAAAGGGCTGGCAGCTGAGGACAAGGTGCAGGTGGAAAGGGCTGGCAGCTGAGGACGCGGTGCATGTGGAAAGGGCTGGCAGCTGAGGACAAGGTGCAGGTGGAAAGGGCTGGCAGCTGAGGACGCGGTGCATGTGGAAAGGGCTGGCAGCTGAGGACAAGGTGCAGGTGGAAAGGGCTGGCAGCTGAGGACGCGGTGCATGTGGAAAGGGCTGGCAGCTGAGGACAAGGTGCAGGTGGAAAGGGCTGGCAGCTGAGGACGCGGTGCATGTGGAAAGGGCTGGCAGCTGAGGACAAGGTGCAGGTGGAAAGGGCTGGCAGCTGAGGACGCGGTGCATGTGGAAAGGGCTGGCAGCTGAGGACAAGGTGCAGGTGGAAAGGGCTGGCAGCTGAGGACGCGGTGCATGTGGAAAGGGCTGGCAGCTGAGGACAAGGTGCAGGTGGAAAGGGCTGGCAGCTGAGGACGCGGTGCATGTGGAAAGGGCTGGCAGCTGAGGACAAGGTGCAGGTGGAAAGGGCTGGCAGCTGAGGACGCGGTGCATGTGGAAAGGGCTGGCAGCTGAGGACAAGGTGCAGGTGGAAAGGGCTGGCAGCTGAGGACGCGGTGCATGTGGAAAGGGCTGGCAGCTGAGGACAAGGTGCAGGTGGAAAGGGCTGGCATAGCCGCTATGACGCACATGACCACCAGGGGGCAGATGCTCAACGCAGGAGCTGCCCTCTCATGGTCAGTGTGCTCCCACAAGGGGTGCACCGCTCAGTCAGAAACATTGAGCTGGATTCACAGCTGGCAAGCACAGCAGTGGTGGGTGTCTGACTGATGGCTCCCAGATTGCAAGAGAGTACAAGCCGGGCTGAGGGACACCCCCCCTTCCTGTCTACACTAGTCTACACTAATGTAGGCCTCTAGTCTACACTAATAAAAGAGAAACATGCAAATTGGTGTCACTTCGCTACACCCACAAGCCACGCCCACCAGCCAATGAGGAGCAAGTATGCAAATTAACCCAACCAAGATGGTGGCAGCCACGGAGCTGGAGCGAGCAGGAGGCTTGGGTTGCTCCCTGCGATGGAGGAAGCCAAGCTTCCCGCCCACCCTGGCCAGCCCTGGCCAGCCCTGGCCTCTGCTCAAGGCTACAAAGTTTCAATTATAGAAGATAAATAAATCCCAGATACCTGCTTCCCTCTGCTCAAGGAG